GTAGATTTTGCAGATATGTCCCCTTTAAGACACATCTCTATATTAATCTAGTGTGTTGAATAATGACATGGAAATATGTCTCATGTTTTGGTTCCTTCTTAATTAAAAAGGTAGCTTAAATATTTGACACAGCAGGCTACCTTCGAAATGAATTAGTTAGTCATCCTGACAAAAAGACCACTGGCATGAGAGTGAAGTAAAACAGACGGGCAGAGACTGACTGGAGTTTCAAACTGCATGAATTAAATCAAATATTTGGTCAGTGTTCTTCATCAAAGGAAGTCTTATCTGGAATAACACGCTCAATGAAACTAAACTGATTGCATATTTCAAAACAACTCAATTATTTTGCTTAAAAACTCAATAAGCACAATAAATTGAAACCGTTTTATTCAATTTAAACTCTATTTAAAACCATTTTAATCAGAACTTGATGTGTGTTTAATCAGTCGTTTTAACGAGGAGCTGAAGCATCCTCCGCAGGATGATTGAGAACTTTTCAAAGCTTCAAAAAACACTGTGAAAGGGACTGAATTCACACTGGGTTTGAGTCTCTGGGGAAATATGGAAGTGCTGCCTGAGAAAAAATTAGGGTCAGGTTCAGGTCTCTAGTTTTTTTAATATATAAACTGTGAGGCACAAAGGGAACAACGGAACGTATTAAAAAGTAAAAATGTCTTGGTGCCTCAAGACTATAAAAAAACGGTCCCCCTTTGTGAATCTTTAATTTTCTTTGATCCCGCTTTGTTTTTACTTTTGCTGTTCATACTTCTGCWGCTGCCGTCGCTGAATTTGGTTATGCAACACTGTAACCCAGAGCCACGGGAACATATGAGAAGGGATGAAAACAGAACAAAGAGATTAAAATGAGCTGATGATGTGCTCACAGTTGGTCCTCACAAGACCTTCTGAAAAATACAGCTCATCAATTCTTATCTATTCTTTCATAAATCTGTGCGGATGGCTTTTCCTTACAGAGAAGCCCAAAAAAAAAGGCGACACGAGAGGCTGGAAAMTGAATACAGAGCAGGTTCAGATCTAGAGTAAGATTTTTTAAAACGAAGCACAGTGACGAWTTTCCTCCAGCCTGTTCCCTCAGGTTTCTGCGCCGGTGCAGACCTGAGGAAGTTCCACCTCTGCCCAAAATCGCACGGCAATACCGGAGTCCTTATATGGGCAGAGAGGGGAACCGGAACTGCAGGAGCTTCCTAGTTTTTCCTCACATCGATGCCCATATAAAGCATACGGAAGGCAGAACAAGCCATTTCCAGTGGCAGTGACATCACGACAAACCATTTTTGGGCTGCGGCTCGAGCATCGTACTCCGTTTCTCCTCCTCCATCAAAGCCGCTCCGGTTCAGCCATTTTTTTTTCATTCGATCTATTTTTGGAAACAAGTGCTGAGTCGGCATGCTCTCCCAGCGCTGCCTGAGCTCCCACATCACTGCGGGGGTGTTCACACACAGAGCAGATGAGTGGGATGACACTCGGCTCGTCTCTCTCCGCGCAGGATGTCAAGCAGCAGAGCAGTTGGTCAAACTCTGACAGCTTTGGGTAAATTACGAACAACGGCGTGAAACGGTGGCATCATATCCTCTTCCTGTGCCAGCTCCTCGTGGCATCAGACGTGGAACGTGAGCCCTCCATATCAGTTTATTCTGGGACAAATGCAGACAATCATGATCCTTTTTTCAAACATAGCGTTAATCATTCCGTCTGCTCCGACATGTGGCTGTGTGCAAGTACAATATGTCCTATCTGTAAAGTCAGTGGGTCGTGCTTCAGCCTTCGAGAAATCTGTAACAAACAAAGTCTGACATTTTGGATCCCAAGATAATKCTTTTCATTTTCGCTCTGCAGTGTCTTTAGCTGTTCATTAAAAACTGAATAACGTCATTGTTTCAGTCCGCTGGGGTAAAATCTAGCTGCCAAAATTCAATCCGAGTTCATCCAGTTTAACATCCATCCATTACAACATGCCAAACCATTTTTATATTTTTTTTAAATTTTGCAAATCTGTCTTGAGTTGTTAATTCTAAAGCACGTTCTGTAACGATGGTCACAAACACACAATCCTTCTCATCTACTAATTAACAAACTAACGGGTTTAGCAACTTTTCCACGCAACACCAGCACAAAGCGCTCATTGTTTCCTCTACAGCACAGCAGACAAAAATCCTAAAGTTTGTAAAAAAAAAAAAAAACAAGAACAGAATCTCATCCTGATGGGAAAAGGTCACGAGATCAATAAACTGAATAACTGAAGGGAAAAAGATGGTTTTGATCAGCTACCAGCAGCTCCTCAGACATGTGATCCTAATGAGCCATAGCTGTCCAACATCAGCTGAAAACAATATATTTTAAGCAACATAATGACCTTTTTAATAGAAACTATAAGACTTTAAATATGAAACAAGAAGGTTCCATTCAGCTGGCAGCCACATTATGATCCTTTTCCATTTCTGCTTATTTGCAGATGTCAGAATGTTCTGCACCACAAAAGCTGTAAGACGTATGGTCTTAACCCCCCCAAACTCAGCCACAAACCTTCAGTCAACATCTGCTCTGAGGCCTGCTGATAAACCAGGACAGCATCAATSCACTCTGCTCAGCCTGCTCTGTCATTTAACAGGAGGCAGAAAAAGGTTCTGCCAAGCTAAAGTCCTGCTGAGTCATGGTTGGAAAGAAAGAAAAATCAAAATAGAGCAGGCAACCCCCCCGACACGAATGCACAGTCATGCAAGACACAGAACATGAAGGCGAAGCATCAAAGCGATGGAAACAGGAACGGGATGGATGATGGAAAAAAATAATTTTTGTAAATGTTCAAATTTAAAGGGGGGGGGGGGG